CATACTTTGGGCATGCTGTAAGGAGGGACCGCTCCTTGGAGAGGAACATCATGCTTGGGAGGGTGGAGGGAACAGCGCAGGAGGGGAAGACTCTCTTTGAGGTGGAATGATTCAGTGACTGGGGTAATCAGGGTGGGTGTGTCGGAGACAGTGCGTCTGGCACAGGATAGAGCAGGGTTTAGGGCTATTGTGTATAGGGTCGCTAGGAGTCGCAAGCAACTCCATGGCATATAACAACAATAAATGTTGGAGAGGATGTGGAGAAATGAGAACTTTTATAAACTGCTGGTGGGATTGTAAAATGGTATACTTGCTATGGAAAGCAGTTTGGAATTTCCTCAAAAAGCTGAACACTGAAATTCCGTATGACCCAGCTATTACACTGTTAAGAATTTAGCTCAAGAAAATCAGAACTGAGACACAAATAAAGACATGTGCACCTATCTTCATAGCAAGTAATTATGAAGACCATGGACTGGATCAGGGGCACCTTAGTCTCCAGACCGACATAGTTGCTTTTCAGTATTCTGGAAAGGTCCTGATAGCAGATTTACCTAATGCAATTGTGTCTTTTGATTTCCTGACTGCTGGAGCCAAGAGTGTTGATTGTGCAGTTGAGCAAGTTAATGAGTCTTCTTCCTCCAATCCTCATGCCACATTCCTCCTCATAAAGCTCAGCCTCCCTAATGATCTGTTCTGCATATAGATCGAAAAAGTATGAAGACAGGATGCATTTCTGACACACTCCACTCCTGATTTTGAACTGTGCTCTCTTCTGAGGACTGCTTCCTGGTCCAAGTATAGAGGTATAGAGTTCGCCTATGCATAATCAAGTATTTTGGGATTCCCATTCTTCTCATAGTTAACCACAATCTGTTGTGATACACATAGTCAAATGCCTTTGCACAGTCAATGAAACACAGATACCACTCTGGTAGTCTCTACTTTCTGTCAAGATCCATTTGACATTGGCAATAATGTTGCTAGTGCTATGCATGAGAGAGCTAGACAATGACTAAGGGTGACAGAAGAATTGAGGTCTTTCAGTTGTGGTACTGGAGAAGAGTCTTGAACATACCATGGACCACCAAGAAAACAAATAGGTCTGTCTTAGAGAGCATGAAACCAAATTTCTCCTTAGTGGCTAGGAATTTTAAGCTCCGTCTCACATACTTTGGGCATGTGGCCAGGAGGGACCGATCCTTGGAGAAGGACATTATACTTGGATGGGTGAAGGGACAGGGCAGAGAGGAAGATCCTGGATGAGATGGACTGACACAGTAACTAGGTCAATAAGGGTAGATGTGTCAGAGTCAGAGAGACTGGCTCAGGATAGGGCAGGGTTTGGAGTTGCTGTACAAAGAGTCACTATGAGTTGCAGGTGACTTGATGGCACATAACAACATCACCTTTATAGGAGCACTTTTCATAAAAGCAAGAAAATGGCAGTAGTCCAAATGTCCATTAACAAAGGAATGGATTGTGCAACTGTGGTATTTCCACACAATGGAATGCTATGCAGCACTAAGGAACAGCGGTTTTGTAATACTATATAACAGGGGAAAATATAGTAAGCACTATGCTGAGAGAAATAAATTAGTCACATAAGGACAAATACTGTGTAAGACACCCTATGAATGTTCAAAAGGGAAAGGGAGAGGGAAGAAGGGGAACAGAAAAAAAAAACATTGCGACAGCAGAAGTTGGTGGGCGGAAGGGGGTGTAGGGATGGGGAAGAGTCAGTGGAGACTTGAAAAGATGGGGTGATAATAGGCACAGATCAATGGTAATTATATAAAATATAATCAATGGTACATAACAATAATGTATAACTGTATAAAACTATACAAACAAAACAATGTATATCAATGATTGTATAAAACACAAAGTACCCCTTTTCTACAAAGATGGCACCAAAAGTGAAGAAGGAAGTCCCTGCCCCTTCCAAAACTGAAGCCAAAGCAAAGGCATTAAAGGCCAAGAAGTCAGTCCTGAAGGGCATCCACAGCAAAAAAAAAAAGATCCACACGTCATCCACCTTCCTGTGGCCTAAAATGTAGACTCCGAAGGCAGCTCAAATAACCCCAGACGAGTGCCTCCAGCAGAAACAAGCTTGACCACTACGCCATCATCAAATCTCCCGACCACTGAGTCAGCCATGAAGAAGATAGAAGATAACAACACTTGTGTTCATTGTGGATGTCAAGGCCAACAAGCACCAAATTAGACAAGCTATAAAGAAGCTCTACTATGACAGTGATGTGGCTAAGATCAATACTTTAATTAGGCCTCATGGAGAGAAGAAGGCCAACAAAAATGGGATCATCTAAACTGTGTCCAGCTGGCTAATTCTAAATACAAATTTTTCTCACCAAAAAACCCCCCCCAACCAAGCAAACAAAAAAAACCCCACAAAGTACCTGTATAGAGCATGATGTATATGAATAAATGTATGCAAACCAATAAAAAATCTTAAAAAAATTGAAATTTATTATTTCTTAGTTTAAGACAGTATTTTTAAGAATATTAATGCTTGGCAGATGATCTGAGATTAAAGTTCTATTAACTCAGCTATTTCTGTAAGATAAGGGTTTTTTTATTCCACTTGTAAAAAAAATAATTTAATAAGAAACGTGAAAAAAAGGAGACACTAAAATAATTCCAACTGACATTCCTGTTAAGTTTTTTAGCAGTTATGATAACATTATCACACATTGTATCTTCCTTTTCTATTTTAAGAGTAAAATTAATACTGGAAGATTAACTATCAGGAAATAGTAGTTGAAAATGTATTAAGGTATGGGCATTATAAAATGCTTACACAGTAAATTTTTAGGTAATTATATCCAATTCCCCATGCCAGCCTTATACTCATTTAAATTTTGCCAATAGTTACAGTAACTCTATTCTTTAAGTGGAGTTAATGTGTGCCTGTTGTTATTACGTGCCATCGAGTCGCCTGTGATCCACAGAGATCCTATGTACATCAGCTCTGAATCTGCCCTGTCCTGAGCCAGTCTCACTCTGGTGGTGTAGTACATAGTGGATTGTGATGCTAACAAAAAGACTTCACGGCTCACAAACTTTGGCTCCCCAAGAGAACGATGGGCAGTGTAAGATTTACAGCCTCAGAAATCCAATGGTGGGTAGCTACGAGTCAGGAAGGTAGCTTCAGAACTCTGATAGCAGTGACAGGAAGTCAAACAGAAGTATTATGTCTCTTACTTTCAAGAGAGAAAAATACTGGAGGATTCTATTTTTGGAGAAAAGATGGAGATAATGGAGACAGGAATGAGACTGAAAAAAATTCACTGATGTTTTCAGTAATATCTGAGCATCAATCAATCATCCATACAGATAAATAACAACTTTGGCCAGGGAAGGTTAGTAACAATTGCAGTTCCTTCTCATCACATCACAGAAGAAGTTAATGGAATAAAATTAAAAAGATAGGTAGAAACCTACCTTTCTCAAATTTAGAAAAGGCAACGGATTTGAGGCTGCACTGATGACCTCTGCATGTTCCAATCAGTTCACCAGCACTGACGTCCCAAAACCTGGCTGTCTGATCACCTGCTGCTGTAACCTTTTAAAAAAATAAGGTACCACAATGTAACAAAACAATACTTTTTAACAATATCCCATATTCCAATAAAAGAATACTTACAAGTTTAAATTCACCAGGGACCCAGGCCAGATCAAAGACAGCATTCCAATGAGCCGTCCATTCTAAACAAAGAAAGCAATCAAGATGAAACATCAAGAATGTTCTGTGGCCTCCCTACGTAAATGCCATGCCTTAAAGCTGCAGTGAAAAGATCAGTGGTATGTTTAACCCTAAGGTACTGGGTCAAAGAGAACTGGCAGACTGAGAGGCATCACACACTCCCCCTCCATCATATTTGATGTCAAATACATAGCTATGAATTAACTCATAATATATTTTCTAAAACAGAAGATCTCTAACATAGTCTTCAGTTCAAAAACATTCATTAATCTCACCAGCTGACATTCAAAGGCCTGTTTTGGTTTATCTCTGTTTTCCTTATTACCTTATCCTGACCAACACTCTCCTCTTCCTAGATTCCAGCATGTAAGAATTCCAGGCATGCTCCCAAAAGGTATTTTTTTCTTAGGGGATTGGAAGGTGGGGAGAAGAATTTAAAGAGCAGCAATTTATTCTCTCACTGCTCAGTAATGTAAAATGTAAACTGAGAGCACCAGCTACAGAAGTATCTCTCCGCTCTTGGGGAAAGATCCTTGCCTCATTGAGTTCTGTAGTCTTAGCTTTCCTTGACAAATCTCACAAGGAATCTCTCTTTTTTCCTGTTTGTACTTGCTTTTCTGTGTCTATGCGGCTCTTTATGACTCAAAAGTGATTAGGTTTAGGACACACCACGCGCTACAGCCTTAATTTTTAAAAAACCCTTATTCTCATCCCAGGTTATATCCACAAGTATAGCATTTCACCATTATTTTAAAGAACACAACACAGTCCATAGCAATAATACTTGGACTGATGCCCAGTAAAGTCCAAGGCATCTAGCTGGGCAGAAATTATTTTTTTTAAAAAAGAGAAATAATGGTTATCAAATGAATAGAAATATGAAGGACAAAAGTTTTATTCCCTCTTTATTTACAGATTATGATCTGAGTTAAACTGTATGTCTGTCCATAGAGTTTTTAATGGATGTTTCAGAAGTAAATCACCAGATCTTTCTTCTGAGGCATTTTCTGGGATATATCTATATTAAATATTAGCATCACCCAGGAACTCTTAGGATGTTGCTAATGGTATTCCTTCAACTGGAGTGTTCTATTCCATTTCCACTGATTTAACATATACCAGATGAAATAGTTCAACCTTCATGAAAAACTGTCCTGACTGCCTTTACTGACATCTATGGCATTTTCTTTGTAGTTTTTTTAACACCACTTATGGTCTTTTAAACAAATTTTCAGTTACATAAACATTTGACTTTCAATAAAGGTTACTGACATTGATAGGCAGTTCACCCTTCACTTGAGGCTTTTGTCCAAAGAGAGCAAGGAAATACCATAGAGTTTACACTCAAGAATGGTGTGTACTAGGGTTGTATCCTTTATACCTGTGTAATCTGGATGCTCAAGAAATCATTTGAAGAGCTGAATTTTATGAAGAAGAATGTGGCATCAGAATTGCAGGAAGATTCATCAATAGCCTGTGTTATGCAGATGACTCAACTTTGCTGAGAGTGAGGAGAAAAGACTGAAGTTGTCAATGACTTCTTGTATCCACAATTAACACCTTTGGAACCAGTAGTCAAGAAATCAAAAGACGTATTAGGAAAGTCTACTGTCAAGGACCTCTCCAAAGTACTAAGGAGCATGGTGGTTTAAACACTAAGATGTACCTGATTCAGGTCATGGTCTTTTCAAGCACTTGCTATGCAACTGAGAGCTGGATAGTAAATAAGGGTGTCAGAAGAACCGATGCCTTTGAGTTATGATGTTGGAGTATATTTCTGAATATCCCATGAAATGCCAAAAGAACAAATACCTTTGTCTTGGAGAAAGTGCAACCAGAATGTTCCTTAGAGGCAAGGAGGGCAAAGCGTCATCTCACATACTTAGGGCATGTTGTCAAGAGGAGCCATTCCTTAGAAAGGGACGCCATGCTTGCAAAGACAGACGGTCAGTGAAAGAGAGGAAGACCCTCAGTGAGATGGATTGATACAATGACTCAAGTTTGTCAGAGATGAAGAGAATGGCACAAGAGAGAAGAGAGTTCAGATCTGTTGTTCATAGGGTTGATGAGTCATACTCAACACGACAGCACCTAATGTAAGTCTCTAAATGGGCTTTAACGGAAAATTAATATAATCAGAAATTTATTAAACTGTTACTTGAGATTGTATGAATTTAAAAAAAAGGTCAAAACAAAAATTATAGACCTATACTTACCTTTGAAACACTTCTTTTTGCAAGTTGGTGATTTTGTGTCATATAATCTTACAAAGCCTTCTTCATTGGCAACTGCTAGTATATGCTCCATACTGGGAGCTAAAAAAGAAACAAACATAGAAAAGTTGTTAAATTTCAAAATGTTAAGTTTCATAGTAAAACTATAAATATCATAATATAGATTAACTGAGAGACTATAAGGTAAATAAAAAGAATCTGGCCAATCTCCTCCCACGTGATTAACTGTCTCTGAAAACCCGCTGGAGTGTCAGCTATGGGTTGGTTCCGACCCGATGGTACACAACGTTTGTTAATACAGAAAAATCTTTTACTCAAATTTTCATCTGACAGGGTAGGTAGGCCATTTGAATCAAAGATTGTCTAAATTTGCCATAATGTCTGATTCAGCAAATGACACAAAAGCATCAAAGTTATCATCAGATATTTAAGAGAAAGGCTGAATCAAGAATGAAGTGTGGAAAAGGAGAAAGAGTGGCACACTGGCCAATAGCAAATAAAGGTTTATGATACACAGGTAGCCAGCAGGCTGAGTTCATTACTTTCAAATTCTCTTCTCTTAAATATTTACATTTTCTCACTAGCAGTAGGCTCAAACATACCTATTTTTGTTCCTGAGGCATCACAGAAAGTCATCAATTTGACCAGATTAAAACGGTTATCTACTGGGCAAAACACTTGTCCTCATGGCTGAGCCCTGCACAATCTTTCTCTACATTAGTTCAAACAATAGTGCTCTATCAGTCTTATGCTTTATAGGAAATATGTAACTATGCACAGGATTAAGGAAAGCTGACGTCAAAAATCTTGAGAGAACAGGTATTAGAAAAACTCTTATCCTCTATATTGCTGACTTTGTAAGGGAGAACTCTCAGTATATTCGTCTATTTAAGTGTGACATAAGTTATTTTGGTTTACTGTTTAGTCAAAATAGTAATTTCCTTACCAGAGGAGAAGGTGCATCCAAAAGGCGGTACTGGGTTTCCTGTTTCTCCATAAGAAGTGTGCTCATCGCCATAGCTGCATTGATAGGCAGTTAGAAAGGACTGAAGAGGGTATTGTGAAGACCACCCTAAAACAAGACACAATTCCTTACAGAATTCCAATATACTATAACATTTTTTAAAAAGTGAAGTAAATGTTTCTCATGTGTAGTTCACGGGTGTTCTGCGATTGTGGGTCGCAGAAGGTACAGACTCTTAAGAGATGGTAAAAGGCAAAGGGCCAAGGGCTTTATTAGGCAATGGCAAAATAGAGCTGTCCTGTCCTCTCTTTTATTACAGAAGCAGACACAGACTACATAAAGAAAGCCAAGTACACTTTTCTCAGGGTACAGAAATATAGGAAACATTCCTACTGAATTCTCTTTGACCACTCAAGGATCTGTGTATCTTATCTCAGGAAAGCAAATGGGTAAATAAAAAAGATCTGGGGGGTGTGTTGTTTGCAACCTCCTGCATTCCAGATCTTGTTAGCAAGAACTCTTCTGGTGCACTTAACCGTTTAGGGGTCAGAGACTCAGAAGATTGCTGACAAGGAATTGATCTTAGAACTGGATCTAGGCTGTTTTCAACCTGGACCCCTGAACATCCCTTGTTTTCAAGGGTCTCAGGTATTCTTGGAACATGTCCTTGTACAGCAGACCTCTTATTGTCACTAACCTTTCAGGGATCCTTCACTAGTGGTGTGGACATCAGAGTTGCATTGCTAACCAAAGGTCACTTCTGATGGTTCAAATCCTGAAGAAGCTCCATTAGTGAGAGATGGGAAATCTCGTTCTGTGTAATTTATTGCCATGGAAACCCAAAGGAGGGTCAACTAAGAGCTGGTTCTGACTTTAAGACAAAGAGACTCTGAAGATTATATATTTGATATAGATCCTCTCACTATTCACAGACATTGAGAATCTTCGGTTTCTAGAAGTGTTTTCCAAAAAATCTTACTTCTTCAGGACAAGAGCACTTTCAGCTGCTTAGTGGAGCATCGGTTAAGTGCTGAACTGGAATGTCAGCTGGAACTGACTCATAGCTGATTCTCCAGTAGTTTTTAAGAGTCTGTAAATCACACAGGAAGAGACTGCCATCTTTTTCCAGAAGTAGATTTGAACCACCTGCCTTTGAGTTGGCAGCACAACTCCTTATCACTAATGTACCATTGGCTTTATCATTTTAAATGAGAAATAAGATTATAAGGATATGTGGCCTTTGCATGGACTTAAAAAAGTCTTCCCCCTATCAAGAACCAATCTAAAAGTTGTTGTTGTTGTTGATTGCCTTATAGTCAAGAATGACTCATAGCGACCCCAAGAACAAAAGGCCTGAAGCCTTTCTACAACTATCAACATTTATCAAAGTTCATAGGGTTTCCAAGAGGCATGTTATTTAGGAAGTGGATTTAGTATTAAAACTGCCATTCTCTCCAATTAAAATACATTTTGGGAATGTCTACATTAATAACAAAAGACAAGTGTGGTAACCTTAAGAGTAAACTATAAAACAAACAAGTACACACCCATCATAAAACAAACATGTATGCAATGGGAAATAGAAAAATGGGTTCATCTTGGGTGGTGTATCCGTCAGCTCTGAAGAAGATTGAGCTGTGGTGCCCATTCAGGCCAGAATTTTGTCTGAGTGATGACTGAGAACCCAAGTTGTGAGCCAGGCTATAGGCAGCACTTTTCTGGTGGAGGGTGTGACAAGGGGTGGGGCACCTAGACTGGTTCTGTTGGCCTGAAAGGAGTTTAGACTAACCTGCCTGGCTAGAGATGGTGTCTTTGCCAGTCCAAGTGAAGGATGCAGACAGGAGACCCAGAGAGGGCTAGCATAAAGAAACTGTAACTGCCTATCAAAAACGTCTAACTGTGGTCAATCAGATTGGTCACATAAAAGTACCTAGTAAGAGGGAAGGTTCCCAGTCAGAGGAAGTGGGGCTGATTGCAGGTCAGGTGTACAAGGGTCTGCAGGATTGTGGAAAAACATTCTCAGAGCTTCTAGCTCCAGATACAAGATGGTATGAGCACGGCTTGAGGTAGAGCTGGGCCTAATAGGGATGGGGCAAATATCCACTATCTGGTGTGTAATGGTGGTGAAGAAAGTCACTCCTTTCATCTCAGTGGGTGAGCACAGGAAGATACAAGTTCCCACAGTATGGTAAACTGATTGACAAGTGGTAACTGAAGGCTAGAGGAGCTGAGGGATGACATCCAGGACATCCTCCAAGAAAGCAAAAGGTCATTAAAAAAGACAGGAAATAAAAGTTCAAAGTGGATGTTGGAAGAGATCAGGAACTTGCTCTTGAACATAGAGTGAAATGAAGAAGTAAGAGAGCTGAATAAAAGTGTAGTTGGAGAAGACAAAGTATTATGAGAAATGTGCAAAGAACTAAACTTAGAAAACACTAAACTTAGATAAATACAGTTGGCATTTCTCAAGCTGAAATTTGAAGAAAAAAAATTCATGTCGCATTGTAATACTGAAGGAAATACTGGATGAAGCAGAAGTAACAAAACAAGATGGAAATTCTTGACGGATTATTTTAAGTTGTGCATAACAGCGAGAAGAATGGGGACTTTAGAACACTGAATTATGCTCATTTGTCTAGTTTCTGAATGATGTGCTCAGCATACAGACTAAACAGGTATGGAGAAAGAATATAACTCTGACACACATACTTTTCTTAATTTTAAACTATGCAGTGTTCCTTTGCTCTGTTTAAACAACAGGCTATTGGTTTAGGTATAGGTTTTGCATGAGCACAATTAAGTGTTCTGGGATTCCCAGTTTTCTCAATGTTAGCTATAGTTTATTACAATCCACACAGTCAAATGCCTGAGTATTCAATAAAGCACACACAGATATACTTCTGGTATTTTCTGCTTTTAGACCGGATCCATTGAAAACACCAAAGATACCTGGAGTTCCACGGCCTCTTTTAAATCCAGCTTGAACTTCTGGCAGCTGTCAGTGTACTATTCTAGTAATTGTTTAATGATCTTCAATAATAACTTTGCATTCATGTAATATTGCTTGCTAATTGCCACATTCTGTTGGATCATCCTTTTTGAGGATGGGTATAGCTGAATTATAATATAGATCATGCCTCAACACCACCCAAAAAACCCCACAAAAAAACAACACACATAACTGGACCAACAGGCAACATCACAATAGATGGTGAAAAGGTTATCAACAATCCACATTCAACACCCATGATAACAGCAGTCAAAAGAAAGGTGTGTTAGTGACACTGGGTAAATCTGCTGTCAAGGACCTCTTTAACGTGGTATTGAGCAAGGATACCAGTTTAGACAATATGTTTGGAAATGAAGTCAGCAAAAGAGATGACCTACAATGAGTCTGACTGACACAGTGACTGCAACAATGGGCTTGAGTATGGACGACACTGTACAATGGCACAGGTTTGGGTACAGGGTTGCTGAGTTACAGTTGACTTCATGGTACTTAAAACCAACAAATCAGTAACTCTACATGTCTTAGTATTGTTGAGCCAATTCCAACTCACAGCAAACCTACAGGACAGAGCAGACTGTCTCATAGTCTAAGCTGTAAACTTTGCAGGAGCAGAGCTGGGCTTTTTCCCCTTTGAGGAGTATAAGATTCAATTACTGACCTATAGGTTAGTAGCTGAACACTTCACCATTGTGTTGTCCAAAACAAACAACACTTCTCCTCTGCTCCCCTAAAATCAGCATTTCAAATCCATTGCTTTCAAGTTCACTCTATCTATCCTACAAGATAGAACTAACTCCTCCACAGTATTTCCAAGCTACAGACCATCACATCTGTCTCCCATGAAGCGGCTGGGGGATCCAAACCACTGAACTTTTAGCAGCGAAGCACTTATCTAGTGACCACAAAGAGTCCTTAAATCAGTAATATTACAACATACTCTTAAGTTACTAGTAACATCATACATAATCAAGTGATCAAAGGGTCATGTATGCCAGTAGTTCTCCCTATGCAAGTAATACAAAACCCAAAGCCTAAACTCACTGATGTCAAGTTGACTTTGACTCCGTGATGCTCCCTCAGGTTTGGCAGGATTACCACCTTTCTCTCATGGAGAAGATTTTTTGGTAAACAGCCCAACACCCTGCACACTCTACCACTAGAAGTCTTTATTTTTAGGGAATTGCTTATAGGTAGAAATGAAACACAGGTCATGAAAGAGGAATTTTCACTGAGTGGATAAGAGAGAGCAAGACGAAAAGAGAGAGAAGGAAAGTGAATTCTTCTTGGGTCAGGATAGTCCTAAACAGCAAGTCATGCTTTGAGGCTTGTTTTTAATATAATGATATATAAGTCAACACATTTTAAACATATAAACAGCATTTACTCACGAAATGCTTACTGAGAGTCACATGTTCATTAACTACTAGAGAAACAATAACTAACAAAAGGTCTAAACAATTAACAAAATACACAATTATGGATATGCTGCTGCTTCTTGTTGTGTACTGTTGAGTCTGAATTAACTCATAGCCGACCTTTCAGTGGATTTTTAGAGGCAGTATATCACATAAGAGACTGACTATCACTCTGGCTTCATCCTCTCCAGGACATATCTGTTCTCTTGGCCATCCATGAAATGCTCAGTGCTCTTCTCCAACACCACAGCTCAACTGTGTCAATTCTTTTTCTGTCATCTTTATTCACTGCCCAGCTCTCAGATGCACATTAAGTAACTGGAATGACTACGGCCTGAATCAAACTCACCTTAGTCCTTAGTAGTGACATCACTACTCAATAATTTGGAAAGGTCCTTAACTGCAGATTTCCCCAGTTCAATGTGTGTCCTAATTTCCTGACTGCTGGTACCAATGGTGTTAACTGTGGATCCAAGCAAGATAAAGATGCTGACAGTTTCAATCTCCTCTCCATCCATGACACTGCCTCTCGGTCCACTGGTAAGAATTTTTGTTTTCCTGACACTGAGATGAAATTCATATATCAGAGGCTACATTCCTTGATCTTCGGCAACACGGCCTCCTCACTTTCAGCAAGCAGGGTTGTGTCATCATCTCCATAACGCAGGTTATTGGTGAGTCTC